AGGAGCGACTGCGATGAGGCAAGGTTACACGGGTCACCGGGACAACGGAGATTGTATGTCGCTCGCAAATGATCCTTGCAGGTGGAGGTACAGGTGCCCTCTCTGCAATTACTTCGGAAGAAAACTTGTTGAGGAAGTATGAATCAGCAAAAAATGCAGGCGTACACTGGTAGGCCTGGTTATTGCACAACTGCACTCCTTTTGCTCGGTGGAATACGTCGTCTGGAGCTGAAGCTGCTCCACTTGTTGCACTTACTTTTCTAGCTGAAAGTGTCTTCCTGCAGATGCAGAATACCATAACACAATTCACATAAGCAGATAAAAAGTGAGCATGTTTGGCTAGGCTTAAACTTTGATGCTCGGACTCTTCGAAATTGAGGAAGTACCCGTGTCGACACGACACACAACACGACACGACATGGATGAAACAAAAGATATGGTAGAGCTTGGGCAGTTATTGTACGAGGTCTACCCAATGCTAGATGCGGATCCTCCAAGTTTCAACCAGACACTCCGCCTTTTCTGTTTCTTTCTTTTTTTTCTTTCACTTTTCTTCTTTCCCCTTTTCTTCTTTCCAAGGGGGTGAAGGAAGGCGGCAGCACTAGGTTTTCCCTTCTTTTTCTTCTTTCCTTTTTCTTTCCCCCCTCTTCTTTTTTTTTCCTTTCCTCTTTGCATAGATGGTTTAGGGTTTTATTTTTGTATAAAATGAAAATGGGTTCCATATAGTTCTACTTAGTGTTTCATTAAATCCAAATTACAATCAAGTCTCTCATTTTTTATTTTATATAACATTTGGTAATTAACTTCCCATAAGTAAAAACTAAACCCCAAAATTCTATTTTATTCGTGTAACTCCTTATTCAATACAATACTTATTTCCTTCTTTATGAACAATTGATTTTTGTCTATTTAAAACGACAATATTGGGTTAAAAAAATTGAAGTTTTAAAGAAGTACTCGTGTCCAAAATTTGGATTCTTTTTAGCCATATCCCTGTATCCTATATTTTAAAAATCATCATGCTATAGAAACAAAGGGAAATGTGGTCCTATACATTTAGAACTTCATTTCTCTTTGACTCATCCTGTTAATTTTTCTCTTTTTCTTCTGTTGGGTATTTTTTGTGTTTTGTGATGCTCAAATAATCCCTAGGCGATGATG